CTGTGGTAAATCCAGGGCAGCATGGTGGCGCAACTGGTAGAGCTGCTGCCTCTCAGCGAGAAGGTTGCCGGTTCAAATCCCGGCCCAGGGGCCTTTCTGGGTGGAGTTTGCATGTTCTCTCCGTGCATTCATGAGTTTTCTCTGGGTACGCCGGTTTCCTCCCACAGACCAAAAACATGCATGTTAGTCTGAGTGGTAACTCTAAATTGTCCTTAGGTGTGAGTGAGAGAGTGAATGGTTGTTTGTCTCTATGTGTCCCTGTGATGGACTGGAGACCTGTCCAGGGTGCACCCCACCCCTCGCACAGTGATTGCTGGACATGGGCACCAGCGACCCCCGTGAACCAAAATGGAAGAAGTAGGTAAAAGACAATGGATGGATGGTTGGTAAATCCAGTTTAACATCCATCCAGCGCAAAATTATTTGACCGGATTGAAATGTTTTCAGATTAAATAATTTGAATGTATCATTTACATGGGCACAATGCGTTCACAGTGAGCGTTTACATGCAGCGGGCTTTTATTCTGACTAGAAGTACTGACATGCGCAGAGTGGTAAACTCTCCTTAAAACACCCACCGAAGAAGAAGTTCTACTTCTGGGATGAACGTAAACAAACCTGAGCGCCCAAAATAAACCTGCGCCAGGTTTTAGTGACGGTCGAGACGCTACTGCACTCCCTGACTGAGCTACAAGTAATACAGATCATTTTGAGCTCTTTCAAAGTTTCTATTAGAAATGTTGTGTCGTTCACCTACCAGTTTTGCTTCCCAGACATATTAGCATCTAGCCAGGCTGAAATACGTGAGGTAAACATAGGTTGCACATGCACAGTCAGGTCAGTTTTCCACAATCGGAAAACAATGAACAGATTAAATGTTTATATGCACACCGTTCAGATTATGAATCGGCATAAACCACCCATCTCATTCTGATTACAAATTCTATCAGATCGAGCTGAATCAACAAAGAATAATCTGAATGGGGCGTTTACTGTACATAATGCATTTTTATTCCGAATGGCTGTTTAATCCGATTTCTTATGACCATGTAAACATACCTACTAAAGTCCTTGTTTGATTTTAACTCTGAACCCTAATCAGGGCTGGTATTTAGGAGCCATGAGGCTAACGGTGACTAAAAAGTAAGCCAGCCAGAAATCTTTGGCTCCTCATGGCTTGGCAGAGAGATAATCGAGGGCTTTCTTGCACTTTTCATCTGACAACACTGAGCAATAGAGCGCGTGGGCGAGTGGTGGAAGACAAGATGGCTGAACTGCCACCAGAGCCAAGACAGCATGAAAATTATCTACCTGAATACAGCTTCCAGGAGTATCAAATTAAATCTGGTCTCAAACGTCTGGATGCAACACAAAAATAGCAACATAATTAGTGGACACAGCTTCTTTTTCTGTTCTTAGCAATACTAATCTGATCAACTAAACCGTAGTTGAGATAACAAAAAAAAAACAAAACATGGAATTCAGAAACAATACACCTTTACACAGCAGTCTAAGTGACTGCATCAAGAAAGTGGACAAGGATCAACGTACGTAAGCAGTTAAACAACCTCACGTCTCAAAAAACGTTCAACTGGACTTTATTTGTAACAGAAGACGTTTCGCTCCTCATCCGAGGAGCTTTCTCAATTCAATGAGCAGTGAGTGAGAGATTCAGGTTATAAGGCTGAGTGAGATAAGACATACACACATATGTAGATTTGACAAGTCACACCTCCACACCTTAACAGTAGGGGGCTTCTTAAAGTCTTTGTTACTCTAATTCACAGATGAGACCCCTCTGTTCCCATCAGGTGTGAAAACTGGCTGGGAATCAGTCTTAAAGTTGCATTATAGGTTTTTGAAAGTGGAAATCTGAGGCCTCCTCCTCTGTTAAGAGATGGCTTTTCTCTTTTTACATAAATTGCTTCTTTCACTCCCCTCTCAAACCATCTGTCTTATTGGTCCAAAATGTGCACATTTTGGTCCTCAAAAGAGTGTCCCTTATCTGTGAGTTGGAGGTGAACAGCTGAATCTTGTCCTGAAGAGCTGGCTCTCCTGTGTTGAGCCATGCATCTGTGAAGAGGCTGTTTAGTTTCTCCATCGTAGAGGTCTGGACAGTCCTCGCTGCACTGGACCGCATACACTACACCACTCTGTTTGTGTATGGGTGTTCTGTCCTTAGGGTGGACCAGCCTCTGTCTGAGAGTCCTGCTGGGTTTGAAATGTACTGGGATGTTGTGTTTGTTGAAAATCCTTCTGAATTTCTCTGATACTCCAGCAACATAAGGGATGACAATGTTTTTCCATCTGTTGTTCTCCGTTTTCTGTTTATTGGTGTGTTTTGCAGATTTCCTCACTGACTTGACAAAAGCCCAGTTAGGATATCCACATGTTTGGAGAGCTTCTTGGATGTGTTTCTGTTCCTTTTCATTCCCTTCTGTCTTCGTGGGGGACGAGTTCGGCCCAATGCTGTAAAGTTCTGATGACAGAGAGTTTGTGTTCCAGTGGATGGTGGGAGTCAAACAGAAGATACTGGTCTGTGTGGGTTGGTTTTCTGTACACTTCAATGTTGAGGCTGTCCTCTCTTTCCATCTGAACCAAACAGTCCAAAAAAGGCAGCTTGTTGTCGTTTGCATCCTCTCTGGTGAACTTGATGTTGTTATCGACCAAGTTAATGTGTCTGGTGAACGCTTCTATTTCCTTAGCTTGGATTTTGACCCAGGCGTCATCCACATATCGGAACCAATGGCTTGGCGTTGTTCCCTCATAAGAGTTTAGGGCTCTCTGTTTCACTTCCTCCATGTAGAGATTGGCAACAATGGGTGACACTGGAGATCCCATGGCACAGCCGTGCTTCTGTCTGTAAAAACTGTCATTGAACTTGAAATAAGTGGTGGAGAGGCAGAGATCCAACAGGGTGCAGATCTGGTCCGGAGTGAATTTGGTCCTGTTGATTAAGTCTTTGTCTTGTAGAAGTTGTTTTCTGACGGTCTCTACTGCTTCAGAGATGGGTATGCATGTGAAAAGAGAAGTCACATCATACGATACAAGGGTTTCTCCTGGGGTTAGGTTCAAATGTTGAACTTTGTTAGCAAAATCAATGGAGTTCTTTATGTGATGAGGTAATAATCCATCCATCCATCCATCCATCCATTATCTTTACCCGCGTCATCCATTTTGGGTCACGGGGGTCGCCGGTGCCCATGTCCAGCAATCACTGTGCAAGGGGCGGGGTACACCCTGGACGGGTCGCAAGTCCATCACAGGGCCACATAGAGAAAAACGAGACAAACAACCAATCACTCTCTCACTCACACCTAGGGACAATTTAGAGTTACCAATCAGCCTAGCATGCATGTTTTTGGTCTGTGGGAGGAAACCGGAGTACCCGGAGAAAACCCACGCATGCACAGAGAGAACATGCAAACTCCACCCAGAAAGGCCCCTGGACCGGGGTTTGAACCAGGGACCTGCTCGCTGAGAGGCAGCAGCTCTACCAGTTGCGCCACCGTGCTGCATGAGGTAATAATGACACTCTTTATTGCTGATGATGCACCCCAGAAAGTTAAACTGTAGTTACTTAAGCGGCACACTTTTTAGGTAATTGTTACAAATAGAAACAATGCACTTCAACACTTGCTCTTGTCAAGGGCGGACATCTTCTCTCTCCCTCTCCTCTTTGCTTTTGCTCTGTCCTGCCTGTGAAACTGCTTAGAGCCTCTCTTCTACAAATCTTCCAAATCATAACTATGGACTTGGATTTGGTCAGTTGGTCCCTCAACACAATTGATAACATTTCTTCGAAGAGAAGACAAGTTTTAGGCGAGCCGATTTGCCCTGTTGGCACGCATGCAGCAGGATATCTCATTGACTTTGAAGACTTGATGACGTGTCTATCTCTACTGTCATCTGTGGATTTTAAGGACACATTTATGATTGGATTTATGATAACTGGTTCCTGCTTTTTGGATTCAGCTGGTTCCTGGTCTATCAACAAACAAGGAAGTCGTCGGCAACAAATCTGGACCTGGTCAGGCTGCCTGCCTTATGTGATGACTTGGTTTGTGCCTCGAGCACCCAGACTTTTGACAGAATGGATCCGATCTCGGGGATTATTTTCATGCATGTTCCATTGGTAAGGTCATTTAATTTGGACGTTTCAGAACTGAGTGGACTGACACAGACTCAAGGTAGATGTCATTAAAGTCCTGTCTGTCCCCAAAACAATCGTTTTTATCTGAAGATGACCTGTCAAGGCCTGACTGGCCTTGACAGGTCATCTTATCTCAACCCGCCTGGAAAGTTTTGTAAACCTGATGCTCTACCCCTCCTTCCTCTCCTACTGAGGAATGTCATGGACTTTTCAGAGTAGCCCAGCTGAATAAACATTCTGTCATCATTTCAGGACTCTGGTCATCCTCGGCACTCCCCCGAGTGTGCACGGATCTCTCCAGAGGGAACTATTTGAACTGAGTGATTTTATCTGAACTCTGCAGTGCCTCTGTGTGTTGTCTCTGGCTGCTCACCACCCTTGTTTTTTTTCATTATCACACTGTTGACCTTCAAACAGAGGTTAAAAATGTGTTAGGAATTTTCGTTGTCTCCAAACACTATGTGCCATTTTTCACCACTTTTTATTGTCTGTCCAAACAGGTCTCACTTGTAAATGAGTCTTCGAGGCTCAATGTGACTTATCTGTTTAAATAAAGGTTGAATGAATTATTCACACAAGTCTGGGTTCAAAGTGACCAAAACTGCAAAGTTCAAAGTGAAAAATTAATTAAGTAACCACCACTGATGTCTGTGGAGCCAAAAGCCACAAATAATGCCAGCTAAGATGGTTTACAAAAAGTTTTTGGCAATAAACCAGAGACTCAGATGACCTGCATGCTGTAATATGAATTAATTTGAAGTGACTGATTAAGCAGCCACATCTTTGGAAACCAGACTTAAGCTGGAATCAATATGTCCTTAGAAGGAATAGCTGAAGAGCTACTTACTGCATGTTTCCTCTGCTTCATCAGAGCCATCAGGACACTCCGGTTCCCCATCGCACCGCCATCGTCCAGGGACACACTGTCCATTTAAGCAGGCAAACTCTGCAGGAGCACACGTTTTCCTAGCTGTTCAAAAACAAAAGAACATAAAGCACAAAACATAAATTAAAATTTAAATGTAAGTACAGACATTATTAAAAGAAATTGGCCACTTCATCTGTATCCACTTATCAATGGAGGCCAGGTCATCTTTGCTCACATTATTTCTGTGTTGTCCTCTCCACAACTCAATACCTCTCTCTAATTTTCTCCACTTCTATTTCTAATGCTCTCATTGTGCAGTCTCCCACTGTGCCTGGTCTCCAACATCAGTCTCCTTCTTCAGGAGCCATGGAATGGATGTTATTCACTGAGCTTTAAAATTGCATGAAGGTTAAACACTTCACAATCAGTGACATGCATTCAGGTGAGGCAGTGCTGCACCTGTCATCATGACAAGTAAAATACAAACAATGATAAGAGAAAATACATTTGACCACTTGACTGTTCTATAAAAAACTGTTTTATAAAACTGTTTTCTGAATTATTTCCACACTTCGATGGTCAAAATCGCAGAATGTACGCATTGCCTGTTCAAACATGGAAGAAATGCGCTACAAGTTAACAACACTACTAGTTGACAAAACAGACCAAGGGTGGTGAGAACTGGAAAACATCTTAGTCTAGGACATCAAAGTTCATGCTCAATAATCCAGATTTAAAAAAATCCAACAAAGTTAAGTCAGGCAAAAAAGAAACTGTCCAGAGGACCTGACTTAACTTTGTTGAATTTTCTACTTGGATTATTGAGCATGAACTTTGATGTTTTGAACCACTTTGGCTAAGGCTGCCTCCGAAGAATTGACGGGGGAGAGGGCGTACTCGAGATACTATCTTATCACCATCAAACTGGTTGGCCGGCCCACTATGTGAGTGTGCTACTAATGGGACTGAGTATTTTGTGGCTCCTCGAACTGATGAAGTCTTTTGGATGGAAGATAAAACGTTTCAACAAAAAGAAACCGACCAGAGGACCTGACTTAACTTTGTTGGATCTCAGTATTGGGTTTGTGCAAGCAACAATGAGAATATTACAGTATTACTGAACAAAAATAAGCTATCAGTCACATTCTCTGCAAATGTCAGTGGTTAAAGCATCACCAAACACATGACCTTCACTCACAAACACCCTGAGTGTACCTGTAGCATTAAGGCTGCTAACACCCCAAGGAGTCAGACATGGGCAAAGGTCGATCAATGCTCTGAGCTTGTTTCTTCTGTAGGATCTATAATAGACTGATAAATTACTGGCTAAAAGCTCAGCAGAGTTGTCTGGTCCTGTTTTTCTGCTGCAGTTGACACAGGCTTGTGTCATACACCAAGAAACAACATGGCAGGAAATTCAGCACGATTTTCACAAAACTGAAGGTGTAGTGCATCAATTCACAGAATATGTAAACTAGAAACTTATAGTGTTGTGTTTTATGCACATTTAGAGCAATTTTATTGAATAATGTTTAGCTGACAGGTGCAGACAACTGATAGCAGCTGAAATGTGCAGGAATGGTGTAAAACAGACTGATTTTTGTTCTGAACACGCCTGCTCAACCCCTCTGTACTGGGTTCCTGGTGGTGCTGCAGCATTTCTTCATCAGCTATACAGAGATATTAAATTATGTTGTGTTTTTTTTGTGCACAAGCAGAGTAAATTTCACAACCTGGCCCTTTTGAGCACTTCTGATAGCCAGTTTGGTTTCTTAAAACTGGACAAAACAGACTGTGAGAGAAAAATAACAACTAAAAGTGACCACAGCTAGTTTTTAGACAACTCCACTCACTTTCCATTTATTTATTTGTAAATGGACTGCACTTATATAGTGCTTTTCTATCTTATCAAGATATTCAAAGCGCTTTACAACACAATCTGTGTCCTCATTTACCCATTCATACAGCACTCTACTAGATCTATAAAAAGCTAATCTGAATCTGTAGAAACTAATTTGTGCTTTAGATCACATTCATACATTGATGGGACAAACACTGGAGGCAATGAGGGGTTCAGAGTCTTGCCCAGGGACACTTCGGCATGTGACTGCTGGTGGAATCGAACCCTCAACCCTTGCATTGGAGGACGACTGCTCTAACCACTCAGTCACAGCTGCTGTTGTTTGTTTTTTTAATTCAGAGATTCCTGAATTGCCTCAGTTGTATTAGGTGTGACTTTTCCCAATCCAAAATGTTCAAACAGCTCTTTGAAAGCTTTAGTTATGCGTTGGAAACATAAAATTAACGTAAAAATATATTATCCTGTTATTTCAAATGGTGCAATTTGAAATAGCTTAAAGCAGTAATTTTCCTTATACATTATACTGATTGATAACATTGAAGTGTGGGTAAACACCACTGTAAACAAAGCACTCTGCTAAATTAGTTAAAAACCTATAAACTTGAGTCATGTGCTTGGTCAACATTAAGACTGATCATAGTTTGTGTAAGTAAACAAAATAGCAAATCCTGACATCTACATAGTTGAGGAAAATACCTTTATTCTTTTTTTATTTTATTTTGTTGCCCCCAGCAGGAGTTAGTTGTTTTATTTGGGTGAAAACATAAGAGCTAATCTGCTGTGAAACAAGAAAGAAAAGAAAAACAGATGAGTAAAACATCCGTCAAGAATAAAAATGTCTCTTCCATGGATGTTGCCATGGCTACATCAGTTTTGTGTGCAACAATCATCTTTTAGTCACAACAAAGTAGGACACTAGTTAGCACTAGGTGTTTGCTGTTTGTCATGACTTTAATGACAGTGGACATTCACAAAATAAGACGTGAAAGTTTAGAAAATATGCTACAACTTGTTGGAAGAAGAAGAAAGAGGGTAGGAGAATGCATCTTGTGACATATCTGTTATTTGTGCTGAACAAGACAAGAGAAGAAGAAGAAGACGAGTAAGTAACTTCATCAATTTTGTGTGCTTTCCTTTTGGTTCATTTAAATCTTGAGAAAATATGAAGGTAAATTCTAAAAGTTTGATATTAATGTGTAAACATACCCTTAATAAATGTATAATTTAATACAGAATATATCCTTTTTATCTTTCAGGCATTGCTGTGCACAATGCTGGTCGCCATCTTCTTCAGTCACTCACTAGAAACTGATACTTTCCACAACAAACTGTTTTCTACCAGGAAGGAGTAAAGGGTTGCTTATGCATTATTAATAGTCAGTACAAATGCTGCATAGAGGAGAGTTGCTCATCTGTTTCAAGTTGGCATTTCAGCTGTGTTGTGCATCTTTGCTGAAAATGTCTATTCCAGATATTAGATGCAGCAACAAGGATTGGCACAACGTGTGGAAGTTTATGATGGCTCACACATTTTTATAAAAGCTCCAGGGAGTATCAAACAGAATATCCTGATGCATGCTCAATAACCCAGGTAGAAAAATCTAAAAAAGTTAAATCTGGTCCTCTGGACATTCAAAAAAACAAAACAAAGCAAATCAACAAAAAAATGTAGAAAGGTTTCGTCTCTCATCCAAGAGACTTCCTCAGTCTGAGGAGCTGTATTCAGCTCAGTCTCTTATATAGCACCTTCTCAGAGTGGATCAACCAGTTTGCTGCTGACAACCAAAACCAGCTGATCACATGCTCAAGAAGGACCATCAGCCTAACAATGGATCATTAGCACACTGATGGCTGTTTACTA